CAAGGTATAGGAACAGAGATACTAAAAGAATATAGACAGAAACAGGAATCCTAATAACCTGGCCGATTATAATTTCCTGGAGATAAATGCATACAAGAAAAGCAGATATCAGCATCTGGAGCTACCCATGATTTTCTCCGAATCCTCCTCTAACATTCCATTGCTATATTAAATATTCAGTAGACGTTATGTGGGTGAAGAGTGAATGAATGAAGCCAGTAACATGTAATAGTGTTTAGGAAGTAGCAGATAGCTACAGAAAATAGATAGTATCAGGAAAATTATGATGAGGCGAGACAAGTTGGAAGAAGTTGAGTACACTTTGTCATAATCTGCTCGAGAATGTAAGAGTTAACGGCCAAGTCTGACGGAGAGAAATCACATATTATTATTATGGTGGAGGGCTTAACCCGTAGGGATTATACAGCTCCTGTGGGGGAAGGATGGATGGATGGCATTCAGGGAGCTGGTGCACAGATCCAATTCTCTAGATCAAGAGCCCCTCACCAGCGTCAAGGAACCTCCCTTGAGTGAAGAGAAATCACATAGCACTTTACCACGTTTAAGACTCAGTGTTCGAGAGCCACGCATATGAAGATCAGAATCTACAGGGCAGAAAATATTAGTATTATATGCTGTGATGGATCTTCAGGAGGAGGAGACTGAACCGTAGAAGAGTCATTGTTGTCGAGGCATGGTTGTAGTGGAGTGGGACAGAAGACTGAAAGGAGCATGTTTCTTAACACATTTATCGTAGGAGACCATAAAGGAGATCTCGGAACATTTGCAAGGTAGAGAGGAAGAGGAAGTATTCAGATGGAGAGGCCCTAGGCTATTCCACTTCTGAAGCCCCTCCCAGTCTTCCACCCTCACCACTAGAGGAAGCCGAGGATGATGATGGGTGTTTAAAATTCCGCTATTCACAATTCCTCTCATCAAGCTAGGATCTTCATTTCTAGAATGCCATGAATGAACTGTCACTCTAAAAGTATCTAAGGTACTTTGTAAATGTATGTTCTAAATTTTGCAATTCTGGCAACTCCTGTCAGTGCCCTCCCTAGGAGGCACGCATTTTAAATGAGACAGTAGGGTTTCTTCCCTCCCTCACCCACTTTCCTATAGCCACACAATTCTAATGATTACTCTATCACTGCATTCTTAATCTACCCCAGACCTCTTCACCCTCATTTCCTATACTCTCACTAAGACTTTCTTATAAACCTTCACCTCTCTTACTTGCTGATGCCATTCTCCTTGTATCTCATCTACCTTTTACTCTCATAGTAGCTACAACTAAAAAAATATTTTATATATCTGCTGCCACTCTATAAACATGCACATCCAGAAGTCTACCCATTAGCCTTTTATCAACAAATATATAATCCAACAAACCACTGTCATTACGCCTTATGTCATGTCTCGTATACTTATTTTCGATTACCCCTAGCACCCCAAACTTGCTTACTACGCCTTTACAACCATTTCTCACACTCAAGCATTCACGACTACGGTGCTCTTCACACCAACTCCAAGGCTGAGGGACTGATTACCTCATCTTTTATGTATAGTTCTATTCTTCAAATTATGTCCTAGAATTCGTATTGATAAAAGCCACTGAATGGCCAAACGTCTACATTGAAGATACTCAGATGTTGCAAATGCGTCTAATTCTCATAACCCACTTTTCGCAACCGATCCTTATTTTAAATTTACGACGCTCTAACCCACAGGACCATACAATCCTACAAGAATCACGGATCCAGCAGATCTAGGTGTTGTACCATGATCCGAGGACATATGACGGCGTAGGTGACTAAGAGATAATTTCATTCTACTGAGTTTTGGTGGATTCGTCTCTTATATAGACCATCAGAAGCAGAACGAAGTTGATGACTTAGGTAAACTAGCATTAACTAAAGAGAATGCCGTGTATATTTTAGGTTTTTTAAATAAAGGTTTAACAATCATTGTTAGAAGATGCCTAGGAAATAAGTTTGAAAATAAGTAGAACAGTACATACTTGAACTAGGAGATTGTCTATTATAATACTATGTGTGGAGTTAAACATGGCTTTGGAGACAATAACTTTGTCAGTATATTGCAAAACGATGTAGCTGCAACAATGTGGCTAGGCTGCAGGTATCTCTGGCAATACGGTTATAGTGAATCCTGCAGGAAATGACAAACCACTTCTTTGTTAATGATGAAATATTCGAACGATTGGTATTAACTATATGAATTAATTGCAATGTATGAAGTTACTGTAATCTTTGCTGTGATGTAACTATGCACAGAGAGTATGGGGAAGTCTGATAAAGACCCATTGTATAACCTCTGTAATCCTGTTTTCTGCATGACCGCTCATGGTATGATCATGAGGTGCACGATAATCTTAGGTAACAATTTAAATAATCAACTTTCTGATGCCCTCTTTGCCCTACCTAAATATATTTTCTTACAGCAGATCGTCGAGTAGGTTTAGTACCATCCCATCAATCCTAAGTTACCTGAAACCAATTTCCACGGTCGCTGGCCATCCATGATATAAACTTCGTACGGAAGCCCATGAACTGCTAGTTCAGGCAACGCGACACCGAGCAGATGAGCAGTCAGCCACAAACAGCGGAGCTATGTAAGGCCTGCCCAGTGATTTAGCGGGCACTGAAATTAACCTGCATTCTGATCTCTGTCCCTATCTCCATCAAAGAAGCGTGCTACCCACTGAGAAAAATAAAAGAGTACATAGGTCACTGTGCACGATTAATGCCGCTGCAACTCATCCTCCTAACTCCCACAAGCATCTGAGTGAATTTTTCACATACAGTTTCCAACAAATTTCTTGGTGAGGTTAGATTGCCCTTCAGCCATAAAAGTACCCAATGATTACATCCCACAGAGACAAAAGCGATAAAAATGTGTGCGGCACGAACAGAAAACGAGCACCAACTGAGCATGGTAGACGTAAATGAATGTCCCATTTTCACAGTTGAAAGTGCCTTTATCAGTCCCACATTTGACTGTTGACTGTCTACAACACTGAAACCAAATCTGTGATTAAGAGGACGCTTTGAATTCACATGGAAGCGTTCAGCTATTACTCAAATGTCAAGACGTTGATGGCCCATTCAGCATTGTACAACAATAACGAAGATAATTATACCTACTCACTCGCCTTAATTAAACGATGTGACGTTAGGGAAGGGTCATGTAATAAAAATACATCCAACATCACCAGTCATATTATAAGGCTACAGTTTAACCAATCACAAAATACAGCAAGTATAAAATACCACGGGTGGGGATAGAACCCGCGAACAGAGTCATGAACTCCAGACCGACGAACTAGTTACTGGGCCAGCTGGCTACAATAAGATTCGTCCGATTAGGTATATTATTGTTTCTTATTGTATCTATCTTATTGTAGCCAGCTGGCCCAGTGGCTAGCGCGTCCGTCTGGAGTTTTATGACTCTCTGACCGCGGGTTCTATTCCCGCCCGGGTATGGTTTGTTTGCAATTGTGTCATTACGATTTCGTGAGTCATACAACAAGCACATTATAGGGCATATTTCCTTGAAGCTTACATCCACTGAGAATAATGGTCGCAGGCTAAACATTCTACACTGACTTATCTTAGATAATGAATGATGAAAAACTATTGTCATTTTTTTTCGACCATGGGTGCGAGACCCTTTTGTCAGCTCTTAAGAAACATGACGTGAATCCTCCAGAGGTGCTTGTCAGCTCTTAAGAAACACGCCGTCAATCTTCCAGAGGTGCTTGTCAACTCTTAAGAAACATGCCATCAATCTTCCAGAGGTGCTTGTCAACTCTTAAGAAACACGCAATCAATCTTCTACAGGCGTTTGTCAGCTCTTAAGAAACACGCCATCAATCTTCCACATGTGTTTGTCAGCTCCTAAGACACACCCCGTGAATCTTCCAGAGGTGTTTGTCATCTCTTAAGAAACACGCCGTCAATCTTCCAGAAGTGTTTGTCAGCTCTTAAGAAACAGTCCGTCAATCTTCCAAAGATGTTTGTCACCTCTTAAGAAACACGCCGTCAATCTTCCAAAGATGTTTGTCACCTCTTAAGAAACACGCCGTCAATCTTCCAGAGGTGTTTATCACCTCTTAAGAAACACGCCGTCAATCTTCCAGAAGTGTTTGTCAGCTCTTAAGAAACACGCCGTCAATCTTCCAGAAGTGTTTGTCAGCTCTTAAGAAACAGTCCGTCAATCTTCCAAAGGTGTTTGTCACCTCTTAAGAAACACGCCGTCAATCTTCCAAAGATGTTTGTCACCTCTTAAGAAACACGCCGTCAATCTTCCAGAGGTGTTTATCACCTCTTAAGAAACACTGCCGTCAATCTTCCAGAAGTGTTTGTCAACTCTTAAGAAACACTCCGTCATTCTTCTAAAGGTGTTTATCACCTCTTAAGAAACACACCGTCAATCTTCCAGAAGTGTCTATCACTCTTAAGAAACACGCCGTCAATCTTCCGAAGGTGTTTGTCAGCTCTTAAGAAACACGCAGTGGATCTTCCAGTCCATTGTTAATTTATTTCACAGTGTCATTTGGCAACACTACTTTCTGTTAATAAAATAAATCTGGGAGCATATGATCAATTCCTAAAAAAAAATTTCAAAGCGCTACGAAAATTATTACCTGGCATATCTGAGGCATGAAGCACTTCTTGTTGTCGTATGTACAGATACTGGAAGTCATTGTAAACACATTACTTTCGCAAGAATTTTAAACTCTGTTGACCTATACCTAGTATTCTACTTCTTCCTGTCCAGTGGCTCCTTTCCGGTCCAAACTAACGAATTCCAACTTAAATATCTGCCCAGTTGATCGACAATCTTGTTAGCTAATAATAATATGAAACGTTTTGGAGTGACGAGATACATTTTGAATGATGGTTCCTCAATTTTATATTATTTTAAAAATGTCTAACAAATCTGCATTTTTTTATAACACGAAATGAAGGCAAACTAACCATTCTCCAGCTGGATGTCAGCCATGTAGAGTCCCACATTGTCTGGATCATATTCTCTGAATTCGGTCATATCGAAGTCCTGAGGATGAGATGATGGTTTAGCGAGGTATACTATCATTCACTCATTATCTTATTAAAAGCACTCTGAATACTATTGACAAGACATCTTTGAATATGGATATCTTGTTACCTGTGAAATGCTCTTGATCCAGGAATTAAAGCTACCGTTTACTTCCTCAGATCAAACTTGATTCTATTGAATGATTAGGGATTTAGTATTTTCTCACGAATATTAATATTGTAAAATGATTAATAATAATAATAATAATAATAATAATAATAATAATAAAATAATGCATATAAATAAAATAAATAACGGTAAATGGAGTCAGAAGCTTTGTTAAAGAATGACTAACGAGATCCCTAAGAATAAATAGTAACATCACAACATCACTGTCGCCCCATAACATCTCACAGATCTCGTGTTACAAACATCCAGTCTCCCAGACTGACATATACATCCCCCCCACCATCCCCACCAGCACCAATATCCATCCTCACCCATTACTACTTAGCTCAACATCTAGTAACAACTGTTACTCCACCCACTCACTCCTACCCCACCCATTAACACCCACACCAATCACTGTCACTCCAACTCATTATTTCCTACCCACTCACTAACTTGCAATACCTCCCACTAAATTCAATCTCACCCATTAAATCCTACCCAACCCACTAACAGCCACCCTGCCCAGTGGCAGGGTGGCAGTTAGTGCGTTGGGTACAGAGAGGGTTAGGTTGGAGACAGAAAAAAGAACCCATAGAGGACACACCGAAAAAAATCAGACCACGACAAACAGAAACTAGATATTTGTCGGCCGCTGCGCGATCCGAGAAAGATATCCCCGTATTCCATAAGCCCAGCCTCCTCTACTTCATTGTATGCAAAATAAATATTATACGGTGATCCAAAATTCCAGTAAGGTGAAATATAAATATATATATACGTGTTTGTTTTGTGAGGGTGGATTTCTGTATATATGTACTTTCTTATGTATAAAGTAAATGTGTGGATTTGTGTGAGCATGAATGGGTACGTGTATTTACAATCGTCATTTTTTTTGTGTATGTATTCGTGTGCAATGTATACTTATGCATATGTTTGTGTGTATATATACTTGTGCATATGTATGCGTGTTGTGTGCGTATGACGTTATATGCAAATTTATGCATGTATTATTCAACAGTTGTGTATGTATGTATCCATAAGTAAATATGGAAGAATGTATGCATATATATATTATATATATATATATATAATATATATATATATATATATATATATATATAAAATATATATATATATATATTATATATATAAATGCATAGGTTTATTTATTCATGTGTATACGTTTACATATATGTATACTTTTGCACATTTAGGTGTATATGTTGTCGTAAATTATGTATGTATATATGAAAGCAAAATTTGCTTATAGTCAGGTTTATGTATTCATGTATATATATGTATCCACCACCTAAACCACCACCATTACCAGCACCATTACTACCATTAAACTCCCACAATTACCACCACACCAGTGCCACCACGATCACTACCATCCTTAAAATTACCTCAACCACCACCATCACTATCATATATATGTATATATGTATATATGCAAAACACCCACAGTGCAGATTGTGTATATATGTAAATCTATAACCTATAACAACATTAGTCAATGTGTCGGCGATACCTGAAATCAATTTAGGGAAAGTCTACATAAAATTGAGTAGTAAAATGCGATCCTTAATAGACAACGTTTCGCCCACACATTGAGCTTTAAGTCACATATGATCTGTTTGTAACTTGATAAAGTGTGTGGGCGAAAGGTAGTCATTAAAGGATCCCATTCTACTGCATTTGTTTGTTTTTCCATTTAACTCATCAGTAAGAGGAAACTGAAGTTGACAGATGGTCGGCTCTGGCATCAAGCCGAGCTCGGTTTAAGGACTCAGTCAGCTCAAGAAACATAAATATGTTATAGAAATGCGAATTTTCAATATTTTTCACGTTTCTATTTGCGGTTGTACTTAGATTCCTGCAAGAAAAAAATATTTTGTATTTATAAGATAGTCAGATTTGATTAAAAAATCTAAGGATTCCTGATTTTAAAAAAATATTAAATACTTTAACAGATTTTGCCCACATACAACCTGAAATCAAAATTTCACACGTTTTTTACTGATAAAAATGGTTAGATCAGCACCTACACGCTTCAATCTCACTTTTCGCTGTCAGAGGATTAAGGAGTATCTTTTTTAATGTTATGAAACTACAAAATTGAGGGTTTTGAAAGATACTCGAGTTATTCCAAAATGACTGAAATAGGTTCAGTAACTTTGCTTACAGGATACCTGCACATGCCAAATGTTTCTAGAATTTGGTCCCCGTTACCGTACATGAAAGTTCGAAATTTTAATTCGAAAAGATGAGAGACACTCGAGTTATGCGTGAAAGACAATGAAAAGTTGGAGGAAGAAAACAAAGAAAAAATCAGTTAACCTCTGAAAGTTACTAATTCTGGAATATTTAAAGAGACAAGAAAATAACACTTAATAAACACCGACGAGAGAAAAAGAGACAATTTCAAAATATATAGGGATTGAAAGAGGCAAGTGGGGAGTAAAGAAGATACAGAGAACGTTAAAACAATGGCAGTCCTGTTTTTTTTTTTGTGCTTCTGGCTACATCATATGAATGTGTTTTCCATTCCCTCCGTCAACAGCTCACACCTTCCCTCTGGTGCATAACCTCTGCCCCCTTTAAGAGACTCCTGAAATCCTGGTAATAATATAATAATAATATATTTATTTCTACAAGTACATGTACAAGATATACAAGGTATACAAGATACAAGGTATACAAAGTACTAGGTATACAAGGTAAAGGCGTACCTCATGTACCTCAGGTAAGTGTTGATTAGCTAGACTGGAGAAGCTCCTCTCCGCTCCAGATGCTGCCACTGGAAAGCTTAGAGCAATCACAAGGATGGACCAGCTCTGTGAGCTGTTTTTCATGGATGAAAGTCAGCAGGTTAAGTGATGTCGTTCTCACACATGATAGTTCAGACAACTTTACTCCTGTGCTACCTACCTACCTACCTACCTACCTACTAGGTAAGTAGGTAGGTAGACTTTCTTTCTCAGTTTAAGGTGGTGTTGAATGTTTCACACTGATTTGTCATCGTAACATCAGATATATGGAAAATATACAAAGGGGACACAAGAAAAGGAGAATGACTAGCAAGAAAAAGAGAAGAAATGAAAGTGACACATAAGGGAAAATGGAGGAAAATTGTCCACTGAAATATAAAACAGAAAATGAATACGTATAGGACAAACGTAAGAAATTAATTTAAGGACACTTAAAGAGAGACAGTGAAAGATTTCGCAGAAAACACTGAAAAGAATGGAATGATGAGTAACGAATGGAGAAAAAAGAAGATATGGAGAAAACAGGAGAGACACTAAACAGAGGATAGAAGAAGAAAAAACGTGGGAGAAAGATAGAGAGAGAACTCAAAGGGAACTCAGCAGATAGAGGACGTGCAGCGAACGATGGAGAGAGAACATCCCTTTGGGAATGCTGAGCAGATAGAAGAAGCAGGGAACGATGGAGAGAAAGAACAAGTCGGGAAAATAGGAAAAACTAAAAGCCCGGGAAATGCTGAAGAAACAGAACACACAAGGAAGGCTGGAAACGCAAAACACTCATTGAACACTAGAGAGATGGAATAATAATAAAATAATAATAATAATAATAATAATAATAATAATAATAATAATAATAATAATAATAATAATAATAATATCTTCATTTCATCAAGTACATGTACAAGGTATACAGTCTTAGCTGGCATCAGTGACATACTACTATATAGAAAGCCCCTTGCAATGCAGAGTATTTCGGGCAAATTAGGTCAGTTTTGCTCCAGGATGCAACCCACACAGTCGACTAAGTGGGAATCGCTGGAGAAATAGGAAATAGTAGGAAAGAAGGCAGTAGTATAGCAGAAAAAAATAGTACACTGACCTCAGTCTTGTATTCAAAGTCATCGTCGTCCCTGGTGGGCTTGGAGAAGGGCATGGAACTTACGGACCCTCCCGAGGGCTCACCCAGACCCAGCCCCAAGATGGAGGCGGTGTCCGAGTAGCGACAACGAGCATCCTCTATGCGCTCCTGCTGCTCCTTTTCGTATTTTATGTGACTCCTGAGGAGGAGGGAAGGACAAGTGAAAGGGGGAAGTGTTGAGAGTGGAAGGAAATAGTTGGGAAAGTGTTCTACCCTCTATTAATAGAGGGTAGAACAAATGAAAGAGTAGAAAGCAGATGGGCTAATGAGAGAGGGAGAGTGAATTGTTGATATCTGAATGAGGAAAACCACCAGATTCAATGGCTTATTAAGAGCACTTTAAAAACTTCATTAAGTCTTAGATAGCTTTTCTTGCTTCTTGTTTGCAGGTTGTGTCCGTGGTAGAGCTTTTGGCCCTCGTCTGAGGAGCGAGGTGGGAGCGATTGGTAAGCTAAAAGAGAAATTAGTGAACGAGCGGAGATGGTTAGTATATTTCATCCATACAATGTTCATTCTATGACATCCCCTTCCTTCAGTCAAAACTTATTTCCTACAGTTTCCCCAGGAGATTGTGACCCTTAAGGATTTGACACTGTGCCACGAATACAACAACAACAATAATAATAATAATAATAATAATAATAATAATAATAATAATAATAATAATAATAATAATAATAATTATTATTATTATAATTATTATTATAATTATTATTACTATTATTATTATTATTTATGAAATGATAACCTGTCTGGACGTGTACTCACTCATTGAAGACGCTTTTCTTGCTGTACCAGCACACCGCGAAGGTCAAAATGATAGATAAGACTACCAGAGTCAGAGGTACAGCAATGTACACAGGCGTGGAGATCTTCGGGTGCTCGTTACAGATCTGTTCAACAAACATAATATCTCGTATCACTTTTCCGAACTAATTTATGCGCAGGTAAAACCTTCAGCTCCTCTTTCTTTGATCAAACTTGACTGGTTCCTACTTTAAAAGTTATGCAAATTTTAAACTTTTAACGCTTTTCCATAAATAATAATAATAATAATAATAATAATAATAATAAAATAGAGTAACAATAATAATAATATTATACACAGGAAAAATATGATCACTTTCTTGTTATCATTAGATTCATGATTAAAATGCAAAAAGAAAAAAATTGTTTTAACTTCTTTTTGAGAGACCCCCTAATGGGTACCTTGAAAGAGATACCGGAATTTTTTTCCCTTAATTTAAAGATTCATTTAATCTCGATTCTAACTCATGAAGGTCATATGTTATCGTCTTGAAATTTTCAATAAGGCTGCAGTGTAACTATATCAAGGATCATTCAACTGTTGGGATGTGCAAATGACAAATGATCAGTACTATACAGAACATTCCATGATTAGAAAAGGTTTGATAGTTTCCAAAAACCTCTCCTGGTTTGCTGTAAACAGTTTAACTGGAGTTTCCCACCTAGACGAAGGCGGCGAGTGAAAGTGAAGTATGTGAATGCACACCTGTTTTTTTTTTTACTTATTGGCCGTCTTCCACCTAGGCAGGGTGACCCGAGAATGAAGAAACAATACTTCTTTTTTTTTACATTTAGTAATTTTATGTATAATATTTCCCCTGTTCATGATGTATCAATCCAGTATAAGTTGTAATTACTGTTACCCGACCCAACAATGTAATCTCCAGGCCAAAGAGCTTACAGTCAGATAATTTTACAAGTAGAACATCTGTGGTACCTCCAGGAACCCTACTGTCTCATACCACAGAATCCCTACTGTCTCATACCACAGGAACCCTACTGTCTCATACCACAGGATCCCTACTGTCTCATACCACAGGATCCCTACTGTCTCACACCACATGGAACCCTTACTGTTATAACACAGGATCCTACTGTCTCATACACAGGATCCCTACTGTCTCTTACCACAGATCCCTACTGTCCAAGCCACAAGGAACCACAAGCTCATATCAAGGAACACACTGTCTCACACAGGAACTCTGTCTCTTACAGGATCCTTGTCACATAACAGAATACTGTTCATATCCCGGATCCTACTTCTATACCAAGGAAACCTTCTCATCCCTCCCTACTGTCAAACAGACTGTTTCCTACTTCTAGAACATGTTATACACAATTTTAAAAAACTAGTTTAACGGCTCCCTAATTAATAATAGATCCTACTAATCATCATACAAATCCATATGTCTAACCACAGATCACTATGTCTATACACAGGAAAAACACTTGTCTCATTACACATGATAAAATGCAAAAGGAAAACTAATGTTTAACAGGTCTCTTTTGAGAACCCCTACTGTCTCATAAAGGATACCCTATTTCATCCCAATTTAAATATTCTCATTAAATCCGATTCCTATGCTCATAAAGGAATATGTCTCATCGTCCTACTGTTTTCAAAACGCTGTCTGTGTAACAAGGACCCAACTGTTCATTCCACAGTGGATCCAACTGTCCAAACTAATCAGTACTATACAAGATTCCATGATTCATAAACGGTCCTACTGTCTCTCCAAGGAACCACACTGTTCATTTAAACACTGTCTCATAACAGGATTTCCCACCTATACCAAGGCGCATACGTGCATCCAAGTGAACACACCTGTTCATACCTAGTGACCCTCTTCCATACAAGGGAACCCTACGTATACACAGAGAACCAACCTGTTTTTACATTAGACTACTTTATAAAGTATACTGTTTCTCCCGGAAATGTTCATATATCAAACCTAGTATACAGTGAACCTACTGTCCCAAACCCCAAAATGGTAACTCTGTCCATACAAGGAACCTACTGTCAAATTTTACACAGAAACATCTGTGTCCATCCCAGGAACCCCACTGTCTCATACCACAGGATCCCTACTGCTCATACCACAGGAACCCACTGTCTCATACCACAGGAACCCTACTGTCTCATACCACAGGATCCCTACTGTCTCATACCACAGGAACCCTACTGTCTCATACCACAGGAACCCTACTGTCTCATACCACAGGATCCCTACTGTCTCATACCAACAGGAGAATGTGGTGGGTCATAACCACGGAACCTTGTTGCATAACAGTCCCCACTGTCTCTACCAAGTCAATGTGATACCGCAGTGGAACCATTGCTTAAAAGGGACCCTATGCATACCTACGGAACCTATGCCTCCATACCAAGGCCCTACTGCTCATGTTCCAGTCCCTATGTTCATATCAACCGCATACCCACTGTCTCATACCACAGGAACCCACTGTCTCATACCCAGGAATCCCCTACTGTCTCATACCACAGGAACCACACTGTCTCATACCACAGGAACCCTACTGTCTCATACCACAGGAACCCTACTGTCTCATACCACAGGAACCCTACTGTCTCATACCACAGGAACCCCACTGTCTCATACCACAGGAACCCTACTGTCTCATACCGCAGGAACCCCACTGTCTCATACCACAGGAACCCTACTGTCTCATACCACAGGAACCCTACTGTCTCATACCACAGGAACCCTACTGTCTCATACCACAGGAACCCTACTGTCTCATACCACAGGAACCCTACTGTCTCATACCAACAGGAACCCCACTGTCTCATACCGCAGGAACCCCACTGTCTAATACCACAGGAACCATACTGTCTCATACCACAGGAACCCTACTGTCTCATACCACAGGAACCCTACTGTCTCATACCACAGGAACCCTACTGTCTCATACCACAGGAACTATACTGTCTCATACCATAGGAACCCTACTGTCTCATACCACAGGAACCCTACTGTCTCATACCGCAGGAACCCCACTGTCTCATACCATAGGAACCCTACTGTCTCATACCACAGGAACCATACTGTCTCATATCACAGGAACCCTGTCTCATACCACAGGATCCCTACTGTCTCATACAGGAACCCTACTGTCTCATACCACAGGAACCCTGCTGTCTCATACCACAGGAACCCTACTGTCTCATACCACAGGAACCCTACTGTCTCATATCGCAGGAACCCCACTGTCTCATACCACAGGAACCCTACTGTCTCATACCTCAGGAACCCTACTGTCTCATACCACAGGAACCCCACTGTCTCATACCACAATAACCCTACTCTCTCATACCACAATAACCCTACTGTCTCATACCACAGGAACCCCACTGTCTCATACCACAGGAACCCTACTGTCTCATACCGCAGGAACCCCACTGTCTCATACCACAGGAACCCTACTGTCTCATACCACAGGAACCCTACTGTCTCATACCACAGGAACCCCACTGTCTCATACCACAGGAACCCTACTGTCTCATACCACAGGAACCCTACTGTCTCATACCACAGGAACCCCACTGTCTCATACCACAGGAACCCTACTGTCTCATACCACAGGAACCCTACTGTCTCATACCACAGGAACCCCACTGTCTCATACCACAGGGACCCCACTGTCTCATACCATAGGAACCCTACTGTCTCATACCACAAGAACCCTACTGTCTCATACCACAGGAACCCCACTGTCTCATGCCACAGGAACCCTACTGTCTCATACCGCAGGAACCCCACTGTCTCATACCACAGGAATCCTACTGTCTCATACCGCAGGAACCCCACTGTCTCATACCACAGGAACCCTACTGTCTCATACCACAGGAACCCCACTGTCTCATACCACATGAACCCTGTCTCATACCGCAGGAATCCCACTGTCTCATACCACAGGAACCCTACTGTCTCATACCACAGGAACCCTACTGTCTCATACCACAGGAACCCTACTGTCTCATACCACAGGAACCCTACTGTCTCATACCACAGGAACCCTCACTGTCTCATACCACAGGAACCCTACTGTCTCATACCACAGGAACCCCACTGTCTCATACCACAGGAACCCTACTGTCTCATACCACAGGAACCCTACTGTCCTACACACTACCAACACAGGAACCCTACTGTCTCATACCACAGGAACCCTACTGTCTCATACCACAGGAACCCTACTGTCTCATACCACAGGAACCCTACTGTCTCATACCACAGGAACCCTACTGTCTCATACCACAGGAACCCCACTGTCTCATACCACAGGAACCCTACTGTCTCATACCACAGGAACTCTACTGTTCATACCACAGGAACCTACTGTCTCATACCACAGGAACCCTACTGTCTCATACCACAGGAACCCTACTGTCTCATACCACAGGAACCCTACTGTCTCATACCACAGGAACCCTACTGTCTCATACCACAGGAACCCTACTGTCTCATACCACAGGAACCCTACTGTCTCATACCACAGGAACCCTACTGTCTCATACCACAGGAACCCTACTGTCTCATACCGCAGGAACCCCACTGTCTCATACCACAGGAACCCTACTGTCTCATACCACAGGAACCCTACTTTCTCATACCACAGGAACCCTACTGTCTCATACCACAGGAACCCCACTGTCTCATACCACAGGAACCCTACTGTCTCATACCGCAGGAACCCCACTGTCTCATACCACAGGAACCCTACTGTCTCATACCACAGGAACCCTACTGTCTCATACCACAGGAACCCTACTGTCTCATACCACAGGAACCCTACTGTCTCATACCACAGGAACCCTACTGTCTCATACACAGGAACCCTACTGTCTCATACCACAGGAACCCTACTGTCTCATACCACAGGAACCCTACTGTCTCATACCACAGAAACCCTACTGTCTCATACCACAGGAACCCTACTGTCTCATACCACAGAAACCCTACTGTCTCATACCACAGCTCCAGAAGCTTTCTTGTTAAACAACTCTCTCATAAAGCTCTTATAAATACTGCTATTTTTGTAACTGGATTGAACTCATTCTATTATC